AGACCAGGGAGGGCAGCCATTTTGAATTCCTATAGGCCACGAAGGATGCTCGTAAGCTTGTTGTTGGCGCACACGCACGCACACACACACACACACACACACACACACACACACACACACACACACACACACACACACACAACACACACACAACACACACTTAAGAGTCAAGACACATGGCAACAAAGTCAGCAAAGTGTAAAATGAGAATTATACAGCGGCGCCGAGGCCATTCAGTCATTCAGTTAGTTTTATTTGGTAGAGCGTTGGCAAGCAAAAACAAAAACAAAAAGATGTCAGGGGACAACCTCTGTCAGATGGCTGACATGTTTTTGTTGGCTTTTTGGGGAGAAATAACAGCCATACTTTGAGCTCATGAACACGTCCATTCCTCGCCAGTCATCGCTTGGCTTTATTGATGACGGCACAAGAGCCAAAAGGCCCCATGATAGGTTTGACATCAGTAAAAGGTCGCATTGTTGTTGTCGTTCATTTGTCTCGCCGCATTCTGTTCTTGTCTAAATCGCCTTTCTTTTCCTTACGTCCGGATGTCTGTCATAAAAACGCATGTACAGGTAGGTCCAGATTTTGCAAGTTATTTGGAAAAAATTTATTTTAATCCAAGCCTTTTTAATTCTGAAATCTATGGGATCTGGTCATGAGGTGCATGCAGCTCAAACATCGTCAAAACAAGTGGACTGTGGTGTTACATGAAGTCGCAATATCTTTAAATATGGTTTCAGATTTTTTTCTTTTTGTTTTCAGTTTATCTGTGTTTTTTTTGAAGGATTTTTGGGGTAAAAAAAAAAACAAACAAAAAAAAAAGAATCATTGTATTATATATTCACTCAGTATTCGACAAAAAAAAAACCTGCTTTGCCGCGGTATATTAGTGTGCCACCAGAACGTATCCAGTTTCCCCTAACGGGTGTGAAAATAAAGATGTATTTACAGTCGTGTATGGTGTACCTGTTCATCTTTCTTGGGCAGTATAGGCGGAGGCAGAACAATTCAAACATCGTCCACCAAATGGCAGAAGGTCCAATTAATCCAACTGTTGCCACTTATACAACAGAATATGTTTGTATTCAACTACACTTGAAATAAAAAGTCCATTTCTGAGTCACCTGATGCAAGATTTTGATGGTGTGTCGTGAGATTTGTTTTTTTTTTCGGATCTAAAATGTGCCTCGGCTCAAAAACAGTTGGGAAAGTGGTCAAGACAATCTCTGCTGTCAATCTGATATCAATAAATTATTTTGCGGGTTTGAATAATTTTTTTTGAATGGTTATTAGCACTTTTGCCTCAAGTCATGCTTAAAATTCATCAGCTTCATTTAATGCCAGACTGGCGTCGTCCTCACCCCGGGGGAAATCATATGACACAGCAAAAGTCATTTCCTTTTTTTTTTGTGCTTGGCTCTCTTCCCGCAATCTCCGCGCGCTCCGTCCCATTCTAATTTCGGGCCACTCGCTCTTCCAAAATCCGCCCGTATGATCGGCCCTGAGTGGTTCCGGGGCGTGTCCGTCTGCGAGATTCGTTCATCTAGCTCTGGGCTCATCCCCCGTGTCACCTTCGAAATGGGAGTGACTTTCAGGTGTCCTCTTTGGCACAAAGGTGCAAATATATTGGCCGGTAATGTATTCAAATTGAAGTGCCCCTAAACAAACTTTTCGAAAGGCTCCGGTTACATTCGCAAACCGACGCAGCGTGGAAAGCAGCCACCCTGCCAGTGTGTGCCAATGCGACAATATGTTTGGCTTTGAGCGGCAAATTGAGGGCAAACCGTCCTGTGCTTTGTTATGCGTGCGCACATGCTCGTCACAAAAAAAAAAAAAAGAAAAAGTTAGAGAGGGAAATTGAGGTGAACCGAATGACCAAATGAATGCTCCGTATTAACTGACGCTCCAAATTCAATTTTAGGGAAATTTCACCAAAACTTGTGAACACCCTCGACTTCTAAGTGGCCAGCATCTATTTGCGGGGCGACACAATGAGCCTCGTTTAGTAATAAATGTTCCCAACCGACGGGTTCATGACGCATGCTGACCGGCCCCATTTGGTCTGTTTGTCTGAGTGAATACTTTCAGCATAGAAATCATTTCACCGAACGCATTGTTATTATTCTTATTATTATTATTATTATTATTATTATTATGATCTTTATTTCACAGTCTGTCCAAGAACTGTGGATTCACGCTGTGACCAAGACAACAAGATTGAGCATCTTCTGCTAGTATGGAGGACCAAAAAGTGGGAAGAGACAGACAAGCTGTATGTTTTTCTTTTTGTTTTTGTTTTTGAACGGTGCATTTTCTGCTGGGATAGCACGTGGAGAAATTGTATGCACCCTTATTGGCTGCCTATGAGAAGAAACGCACATGATGTATTTGAAGATACCCGGCTGAGCATGAATTATGAATCAGTTGCCTGTTTGGATCTGCGACGTTTGAAGGGAGACCCACTTGGATGTGGCGAACAGAAAGCATAAAGCACAAAGCTGTAATATCACCAGGAAAAAATTTGTCTGATGTTAAACAAGTCAGTGTCAAAAAACAGCCTCAAATTTTAATGGGGTCATTCTCATCAATTTATGAATAGTCATTTCTGGTGTCATTACTGCCCTCCTAAAAGCATGTTGTTGTTCTTTTTCTTGTCGTGTTTTTCTCTTGTGAAACAAAAAGTTTCAAAGATTTTGATGAGACAGTGCATATTTGGTTCTCATAAAAGTACATCTTGTGAAGAAAAAAAAAACAAAACAACAAAACAAAAATGTTTTTGTCCTTCACAGTGGGAGGCCAGTTTGCCTTGTGCTGCCACTGGGGGGCCTGGGGGTCCTCAGGGGTCAGCTCCTGGGCTTGGTCATGTGACGATCGCAAGCTGAGCCCGTAAGTTCAAGTTCAAGTTCAAGTTCAAGTCAATTTTATAATCAAATGTGTGACATGTGCAACATACAGCACAGATGAAATTATTTTCCTCTCAACCCCAGCAGAGCACTGTGATGTCATTTTAAGTTGGAATTTTTTATACGACTTTAACTGGTAGTATTGAAATAGATTTTGGCCCAGACAATGATTTTGAATTGTCACATGGGGGTAAAATTAGAGTGAACGTCCCTCCATCACAAGGAGAAAAATCTTTTGGTGTGATCTTTTCGTTCGATTTCCAAACGCTTGAACCGTACACGCAAGCGCTCCATATTCATAAAAATAAATATAAGTGCATCAAAGCACATAAATAGCTAGCTCGTGGCCTAATATGCGCCCAGATGACAGAGCACATCAGTCACACTGCAGGCAGTTGAGAGGTTGAGTCCAGGCAGGCCGACGAGGTGGCATGACATTATTCCAACTCATTAGCATCAACCTGGAAAATTCCAACATGACAAGATCCCTTATTATTCATCTATTTTTACCGATTGGAGGTGGGTGGGTGGGTGGGGGGGGGGTTTAAATGCTCTGTGGCCACAACAACCCCCCCCCCCCTAAAATGGCTGCAGGAGATGAAGAATACATGTATTGAGTGCAGAACAATATGGGTGTCACGCCTGAACATGAAAGTCATTACAGTATAGAGGACATTGAACGCATTTTAAGGCATGTTCATGAAATAGAAGGAATGGGAAATGAGTTCTTCAAAACTACACGTAAAGCAGTGAAAGCCCTACTGCGGAGGACAATACTGCCCACTCAGCACAGAAAGGATCAAAAACCAAAAAGAATGAGAAAAAGATCTGAAATGCTGATGTAAACGGATGCTTCTTCCATCTCGCTGGTAAAATGCAAACTGCAGAATCAACGTTCATATTTGTACGACTGTTTTTGAGCTTGAAAGTAAATCTTAGGTCATTATTTGTACCCATGTATTTTTAGAATAATGTGAAACAAGGGCACAGGTATACAACAAAAGCCACTCCGTCACAGATTCCAAGTTTGCGGTCCCGCTATTTGACAGATTTTTATTTCAGTTACAATTCTATTTTGTTGCGAGTCGTTAATTGTGAGTGTAATTCCACTGTTGGCCACTAAATGGTGTCACACAATTGTTTTAAACTGTGTAATATTTGAAAGAATACGATTAATAGCAGAAAGTAGGCCAATAGTATTTCCTAGTTTGTGATGGGAATTATTCAATGTTAAATCCTCTGTAGTCCTGCTTTTTACACCGACAGAAAGCCACTGATGTCGATAAATGTTTTACTGTACGTCTTTGGGAAGTTTGGAAGTTTGTTCGTTTGCTTATTATAAACAGATGGAGCAGGACATTGGAACACATTGTTTGTGCAATATGTTTGCCTTATCAATTGCTCATGCTCTCTTTCAATATGTTACATCAGTGGGGTCAGGCTCTGAAAGGTCCTCTGTCAAAATTGGGAAAATGTCATATTGTTTTCCAGAAATCTATATCCTGTTAGACAGTTAAAACTGTAGGTGAAGTAAAGTAAAATTAAATGGCTTCTAAATTTGACACACCACATCGAGTATTGTGAAAAACTTTGCTGAATTAAAAAAATAAAATAAAAATCGGCCCATGAATGCTTTAAAAAAAAAAAACAAATTAAGCTTTTCTCTCCATTCTGCCATCTGGTGGCATCTACTGTAGAGGCCATTCAAAACCTTTTTGAGTGTCACTTGTGGATTTTCACTCTTCACGACAAGGTTGGATTCCTATTCCCCTACGAATTGCGGGGCTATAATGCACGTGTGTTAAGAGTCGAGCGGTTTCGACGGTTCGATTATTTGACTCGCAGACCCCCTGGGAGTCTGCAACCCACACCATCGCACTAGATACTAGAAATGTGAAACTATTTTTAGGAGGCAAAAGTGCTTGGTCTGAAATAAAAAAACAAAAACAAAACGTTGACGGAATCAGGTCATTGCATTCAAATGTTCTGATGTGAGTCTGATCTCATTTGCATATTTTCTAGCTGGAAATGCTCAATTTTGCCTGACCTAGACACAGAGGAGAGCGAGTATGGAGAGAGAGAGAGAGAGACTATTATGTGTCAGGGCGTCTGGCTAGAATCTCCTGCACATCCTCTCGCGCTGGCTCTTGCATCCACATCTCCGCCTCCTTCTGCTGCCTCTCTTCCTCCCTCCTGTTGTGTTTTTTTTCACCCCTCTCCTCCGCCGCCTCCATCCTCATGCCCATGCGAAACGTGCAACGCCACTTGCGCGAGTGCGTGCGTGCGTGTGGGCGCGCGCTTCCAAATGGGGGAACAGATTAAAAACAAAAGCGGGGGCACATGCTCAATGAGGAGGTGAAGGAGGAGAAGAAGAAGAAGAAGAAGAAGAAGAGGAGGAAAAGGAGGAGGAGGGTGGAAGGCGCGCACAGGCTTTTTTTCATTGAGTGCCTTCGCCCTGAGCCGAGCAACAGCATGGATCTCTCCTTCATGGCCGCGCAGGTGAGTCTTCATGTTGTAACTTTTCATCTTAAGAGTGTTCTGATGGGCGTGCGTGAAATTTAAAAAGCATCAATCTTCCTAAGCGGCAACTAAATTGCATGGCCCAAACTACTTGAAGCCACTTGAACTGTGGCGTACAATACATCCCCCTTTGATGTACTTTGTTTGCCAGCACAATAGCCGGAGTGAATCAGAGACCGCGGTGACAGTGACCAGTTGAGGGGATTGGAAATCATGTCTTGAATTTACAATTCATGCTCCAATGGCATCACTCCCATATTCCAAAAACATGCAAGTTCGATTCATTGGACGCTCTGATTTGTCTACATGTGTATGCAATTGGTTGGCAACCAATCCGTGGTGTACCTCGCCTACCCACCACCCGCTCCCCGCCCCCCCGGGCTAGATAATCAATCGATGTGATGTGCTGTAAAATAACACTTTCTGCATTTTCTGACTAGATTGAACATGGCAAGGCAGTTTTATTTCTAGAGCACATTGAATGCACGAGGCAACTCAATGTGCTTCACACGGCCAAAAGCCCAACACCTAAAAGTATTTATAAACAGCTCTGGACAATCAAAGGCCGAGCAAACAAAACCAAAGTAGCTTACTTATTATTATTAAAAGAACGTAACGTGACAACATTTAAATGCATTTACAAACAAAAGATTTAAATGCATTTCAAAGCAAACTCTAGAATTGAAAAGTAGTTTTTTTCTGAAATGACTGACTGTGAAATGGATTTGAAATGCTTCAAAGTCATTAATCAAAGGTAATTAATCTGAATTTAAAAACAGATACTGACATCACTTTTGTTGGAAGCTTATACGACTTGCGGGCAGCATAACAGCTAAATGCCGCTTCACCGTGTTTGCTTTGAAAGATGGGCTCCACTAAACATCTGAGCCTGCAGACGTCAAAGTCCCTCTCGGTTTATATGCAATTAGCATTTCTTGAATGTATTCGGGGCCAAAACCATTCAGTGATTTACAGATCAGGAGCAGAATTTTTAAAAAAGTCTTCCTTCATAGTGCATGAGCAACCCTCATGAGGACAAGCGAGATGGACAATAGCAAGGGGCGTATTATAGGGCCCGTTTGCTCAGCAAAGCAGCAGCCCCTACAAAGTAATGTCGACAATTGTGAAAATATGTCGTCAAACCGTGTTGTAATGTGACAGGGGCGTCGCTAGTCATTTGGGTGCCCGCGGTATCTCACTTATTAATCCCCCCCGCGCACATCCATACACTGCACTGGCAAAAATGTTATTTTCAGATCAGCAGAAGGTCTTTTGAACTCTGCTACAATAACATGATGGCTTAAGTTTTTAAAATATCTATATTTTTTCCATTTTTGTACAACATGTTGAACTCAGTCAAACCCTGTCGCTCTCCCAAACAGCAGCACCTCTCAAGACACACAAATGGTCCCTCAGATGAATTAGTGTTGAGTCTTCTGGCATGTTGGAAATGCAGCATTAATAATGATCTTTAATTTGAAAGACTTAGTAAGACAAGAGCAAAAGTTTTAACTGCTGAAATGTATTTGTCTGTGCAGAGTGGTGATATTTCATTCTTTTCCTCCTTTTCCATATTTTAAACAAAACCAGTCCCTCAACCTGACAATAGGTGCCGACCCCATCTTGCAGTTGAGTAAATAAACGTCAACCCAGCCTCTATGAGGATATACAGTCGCAAAACAAGTGACGCTCAATTTCGGTAATTAAATGTGACTTGCCGTCATGTCATTCGTACTGTGGGTCATGTTGTAATAGGTGACGCTCGATCAATTTTACTGTGCGATATCACGGCTGCCACGTCGGCGCGGCGTCCGAATGCTGACACTTAGTTTCGTCAGTCTTGGAGATGTTATCTCCTAACAAGCGGGACCTCCTACCTTCCCGATATAGAAATGCATCGGAGCTCGCCTTCCTCACAATGTGACGTGACGAGCGCCTCCCATTCGCTAATTGTGCAAACTCTCCGTGAGTGGAAATATCAAAAGCGGTAAATTATTCACCTCACGAAGGCGCACACGCACACACACACACACACACACACGCCAAAAATGTCACCGAGCTACTCGGCTTTTTAAAAAGCAAGAATAGCAAGAGCGGCGGCTGGCAGCGGTCTCGGGAGAAGAATGACCGAGGGGCATTTCTTATAATCATATTCATAACTGGTGGACGGTTGCACATCACCGTGCGCAGTCGTCGGTCCGGAACCGCGGGTCGCTACCGTCTTCATTGCAGGCACACGCACACACTGATTGGGCCCACGGAGTGTGTTGCTTTCGGGACATTGAGAAACACAAATGTGAGGCGTGAAAGTGCTCACCGCTTAACCCTTTCAGGGTCAGCGTTTACTACAGTGGGTAGATTATCATGTTGTCAGTTTACAGGGTGCATGGAAGGGTTAAATAGGTCGTGGAATAAAGGCGTCCATTGCAAAATTTGCTCCGCCAACTCTTGATTCATATCAGTGAATCTAACAAACACATCAGGGGAGCACACACACACACTCCAAAAAAAAAAAAAAAAAAGGGTTGGTGATTGGTCATCCATCACGTTCTCAAGAACGAATCCCACTGTTCCATTTGACGGGGATGATTACATCAGTTTACAACGCTGCCGCGTTTGTGCGCCCCAGTGGTCGGCGCCGTCAAGGAGATAGCGGTAATTGTGGTTTAAAAAGACTTATGCATGTCCTTTGGGGAGTTGGGTGTTGTTAAACGCAAGCCTGAGATACAAGCGCTCGTGCGTGAGTTGATTTTCCACAATTTTTTTTTTCTTCATGATATCCATTCATCTCATTAGAGCCTATCCCATCAGACTTCCGGGCGAGAGGCAGGGTGATAGGTGCGGTAAATGCAAAACAAACAATCACTAAGGATGATTAAGAGTCTTCCAGGAACCAAACGTCCATTTTTTTGGGGGGGAATGGTGGAGAGAGAATATGCAAATTCATTTGAAGAGAACTTGAGTATAGATTTGCATCCAGGACGCTGCAGCAGACATGCTGACCATGAGTTTACCATTTCAATGATGAAAATGGAATTTGCTTTTCGTGCTCGCGGATTCGCATATTCAGATTTTTTTTTCCATTTAATTTTTGAATATTTTAAAGATTTTTTGGGAGCCCCCCCCCCCTGTTTTGTTTATCAGCGGTTTATTTTTTGTTGTTTTTTTTTGACTGTCTGTTAAAAAAATATAAATAAATAATGAATTTGCCCAATGCATTCAACCGGGCATCAGATTTTTGCCATTTGCAGCCCAGCTTGGTCGCTATCACGCGCGAATAGTGGAGGTCGACTCTCTGGCTAATTTTACATCAACTATTTTCGTCACTATCATTCGTCACAACGGAATGTCACAAGAATGAAAACTGACGAGAATTTAGTTGAACTTTGCACCAAGCATAATGCAGTATACACTCTCCTGACTTGTATGTGGGCAGCATGGGATCCGTTCCCACTCCGTGACGGTGTGGATGTAGGTGTGAATGATCGTTTGTCTTTATATGTGCCCTGCGGCTGACTGGCGAGCAGTTCAGGGTGTATTTTGCCTTCCGCCCAAAGTCAGCTGGGATAGGCTCCGCGAGCCTGTTCAGGATAAGCGGGGTTGAAAATGGATGGATGGATGATTAAAACTGACATTTTTGGGTGATTTCATCTCAATCTTCAGTGACAACAAAACATTTATTAGAGAGCAAAACAGTTTGTGGCGAGACACTGCCCCTCAAACGGAGTTGCCAATGTGCTTGTTCCGGATTCGGTTCGTTTCAAAATGGACTCACTCTATTTGTATTGTTTCCTCGGTAGAGCAGATTTTTATGATTCGAGTTGAACTTACTTCCAGAGCCTGAAGACACCCCAGGTGGGGGCGACGGTGAACCCTAGGACTTCAGCCATCGTTTTATCTCTTAAAGATGACAGAATCTGTCATAACTGTCCTCCACCTTGGGAAGATTCAGCCATTGAAGAGCGTCATTTGAAAAGCTGCAAGGAGGAAGTGACCATTAGGACTGCAGACTGTGACAGCGCGTGATGTTCATTAGTGCTGTAAATCCACCGGAGAGGAAGAAAGTCATCCTTCAAAGGCTAACAAAATAAAAGTCAAGAATACCGCTTCAAGCCCGGGAGCGTAATTAGGCCTTGTATCACCACATTCTTCACTTCCTTGTAACAGTCATGTGGCCACACAAACGGGCTAGTAAGAAAACAAAAATATGTATTTGGAGAGTAGTTTGAATTTGGGGATGTTTGTTCAGGGTCAAGTCGCATTTCCCACTTGATCACCATGATCATAAAATGGTTCATGACTCAGATTAGAGTACCGTATTTTCCGCGCTATAAGGCGCTTCGAAGTATAAGGTGTACCTTCAATGAATGGCCATTTAAAACTACGATTCGATATGGCACAGCTGTGGCATGTTGACATGTTTACGAATATGTTTCATCATGTACAACTTGTACAAGTGCTCCAAAAGGACAAACTATTTCTGTCCACGAAATTCAAACAAACAACGCGTCATTAACAAAGTCAAACTGATTTCTACCCATTCATACTTGGTGCGCATCTCTCATAAAAGACGATTCCATGCGTATCTTCATGTACGGTGTATATACGGTACCTCCCCCTTCGAACTGCCTTCGGTTTAACGTTAGGCACGCCTCCCCCCAAATTTTCATTGTTTGGCGTCAACTCAACATGAGACTCGTTTGTGTTTTATTGTGCTTTCCGTTTTTATGATATTGATTTACTGTTTTAACCGTCTTGGTTTTTATCCAGCATGTCCGATTTTTAGGCGAGGCACAGTACGTTGTATGTAGATATGGTTGATTTTAAAGTGCTCTACAAATAAAGTTGAGATGAATAGTGACGCACTCACCTTGGGTTGAGACGGCACGTGTGTTTTAGTCAAGTGCGACTTGGTTCCTGGGCAGGCAGCAGGTCGGAGCGTGTCAAACACCTCAGGGCTCTCGGTCAAGTGCACGATAACCCTTGAGTGTCAACTTCGTGCTCTTTTTTTTTTCTCTCCTGTTGCTTTCTTTGGCTTTCCAAACGTGTTTGTTGAGCTTGGCGTCCGAATCGGTTGTGGAAATGGCAACGTTCTGCATTCTGGCCTCAGGTGTTTTGTCTCCGTCGGGTGACAGCATCTCTCATGATATCACCTTCTTTGGAGAAGCAGCCGCGGCCAAGATGTTCTGTCTGACGGGGGTTGTCCATCTCGGCCCTAGCAAACAGATGAGAGAGAGAGACAGAGAGAGAGGATAGATAATAGACTCACAATAAATCTTTGACCACATTCAGACAGATGACGACTATCTACTCGGATAATGAGACAATCACGATTCACGCACGCAGATGGAAGTTTGGCGTTTTGGTCACGAGCACAATGGCAGCTGCTACGCGAGCCAGACGGAGACCACCTTGGTTCTCGGGCGGCATCGCAATTCAATTCGATGATCATTGTTATGAAAGAGCACAGCCCCAGGTCGCTAAAATTGAAGCTCATTTCAAGGATGTAATAAGCTGTTTAACTGGAGCAGTCTTCCCCTTTTTCCTGCGATTGGTTTTCCGTGAAGCCGCTTGTCTTGTGATAAATAGATAACTGGAGTGGCACTCCATTGCGACCCACGCCGAAACATTCTTGATGTGGTTCAGCACTAACTTAGCCTCTCGCAAATGACATTAAGAATCATACGGCGTTCGCAGAGAAACTGGGAAGGGGGGAAAAATTGGGTAAAAAAAAAAAAACGGATGAGGTTCTTTTAAGCAATTCAATTCCCTTGATGGAGGCTGGAAAGGTAAATTTAATTAAGTTTTCTGTTTCGCTCTCTTCTCCACAAATCTTTGTGGCAATCAGATCAGTGGGTTTTGTGAATTTGTAACTAAACATTATTATAAATAAATACCCCCGAAATATTATTTCCTAATAATAAAATTAGCGAAGAAATGGAATAAAATTAAAAAGGTTTTCTGATACATGGTGAAGCTGGCATCCTTGCTAAGCCCTCAGTGGAAGATTTTCTTTTTTTTTTCTTTTTTTTTCATTGATGGGTTGAAGGATAGGTCAGCCTCAGCCTCTTCACAGCTCGCTTTCACACGATTGAGTCATCAAGTTTCCAGATCGCATTTGAGGATTCCAGAATGCACACCATCCATCTAAAAAAAAATTCTCCCCACCATTCCCGTAATCACACGTTCATTAAAAGCGGTGGTTTTTGAAGATGGCCATGTGTTGCTTGTTGTCGCGCTTCTCAGGCAGCCTCAGGCTCATTCGACTTATGGGAAGGTATGGCAACAACAACAGGATCCATATTTAACATTGATCGCTTGTGGAGTTTTGTTGTAATTAAACACTTCACTGAACCTTGAACACTGATTGTTTGATGAGCGGGCTGGGCGTTATTGGCAGTGGTTTCCCTTTACCTGTTGAATGTTTATTAAATGGGATAAAAACGTATACGTAAGGTCAGTGCCTGAATCTTCTCGCAAACACGCATTAAACAGTACCCACTTCTATGACTCTTGAATTTAAAAAACATGCTGTAAGTTGCCCCATTTTCTACTTTGGAATTTGTTCAATATTGTATCATGTTGATCCTGAAAATCAAAGTTTGAAAAAGAAGGGTTAAAAAAACAACATTACTGTGAATGAATAGCCTATAAATTGTTTACTTCTCTAGTGAGCAAGCTAGAACAGTTGTAAACATTTCATGTGGCACTTCTAAAAACTAAATTAGAGGCCCAAACTAGATGTTACGATTTTCGCATTCTCTTTTTAAATCACTCCATGTCTTTTTTTTTTTTTTTTGTCATAAAAGACGTTTTTCTTCACGACCCGACATCGCGTTAGCTACAACAGTTGTAAATTTTTAGCAGCAGCAGGTCACAAACTACACGCTATGATTATTTTAGTCTTTGTGAAATAAAATATTTCCCTGTCAAACATTCATAAATAATAACGTTTTTATTGTAAAGACAAAAACTCAGATGTTGTTTACCTCAGTGGCAAGCTGGCGAGCTACAGGCAGAACAGGTTACAAACCTTTAGCTGTAGCATTTCTGATGGCTAAATTACAGGTCATAAACTACATGCTATGATTATCTGATTCTTTTTTAAATCACGTTATAAATTTAGAGTCATCACCCATAAATAGTACAAATTTATTATAGATGACAACCGCATTCATTTGTTTACTTTGCTAACATGCTCCAACAGATGTAAACCTTCAGCTAGAGCCTTTCTGTTCATTTACAGGTTGCAAACAAATGTGATTGTATTATTCTTTAAGAAGTAAAGACCTGAGTTAAGATTCATAAATTCATGAAAAAGAAAGCCAACAAAATTCACAAACTATTTGCTTCGGTGACAAGCTAGCAACTTGACTTCTCGCTGCAGTATTTCTGCTGGCTAAATGACACGTATCCTAGCTAGTTTCATACAATGTACGATTTTGAAGTCACAAATTGATAAATGAAGACATTATTGTGAACTGTTCGCAGTCCAGCTATAATGAGAGTGACTCTTGATAAACTGCAAAGTATGTGGCAATTACATCTTTCCCTACTCGACTGAACTCTGACTCTATGATCCTTCCTGTTCTCAGAAACGGTGCCTTTGGTAATATGGAAGTATGGATTATGCATCCCTGAATAATTGATCTATTCACACTCATCATGAGATTATTTCCAAAACATCGCCTTGTATTGATATGTCCTGGAGTAAACTAGTTCTATGATTCGGGACGAAATAATGACAAACATTCTTACAATGCAGCTCAGCACTCATTCGTGTGCCATTAAAATGCATCATCAAATGCAAATATGAAATGAGAGCGCGAGTGGAAAAAGAAACACAAATGAGAGTTTGATAAGTGGGCGGAAAGCGGCGGCTGATTAAAACGAGATTTGACCCAGGCGACACAGATGAAATATGATTGCGGGTAACCGACAGTCTGGCTGCTTGAAATATTATCATTACACATTTGAAAAGCAGTAGTATGTAAAACACGGATACATAAAATATCACCGGTGCAAATGCTTGTTGGAAAGCTTAAAACCGAAAGAAGAGAACAGCCTTGTGGACCTTGGGAAGGGCTTTTTGTCTAAACTTCTTCAAGTTAATTGAAAAATTGGTAGTTAGTCAAGATTACTACAACTGGTATGTTTGGATCTCCTGTTTCAATGCCAGCATAGTTATGTTGTTCAAACTAGTGGAGACGGAATCAAGAATGTCTCATTTCAAACCAGTTCTTATTGCTTTATTGCCAAATGTACGCATTGTTGCAATTTAAAAATGAAAATTGCTAAAAGTTAAATACTGTATATCCTTAAATAGCGGCGTCCGTGCATTGTCAAAGAAAGCTCCTTTTTTCATATTTTGACCTCAAACTACCGGTAGTTCTGCCCCGGTGCCTCCCAAATAAGTTTATTTTTCCACTTCTTCTACAAAATGTAATTTTAGGCAAGCGTCAGTGTGAACAAAATGCGCCGGGACGTTGATGTGCTATTTATGGTCATGTCAAGTTTTCGGACCACTTCCGACTTCCTTAACGCGGATCCATACTCATTCAGTCATTATTTTACATCACGCCTCATACATTACCTCTCCATTATTTCAGCCTGACAGCTCATTTGTGTCGACCGCATGCGATAATTTCAGTTACGAATGGTCTCGTTACCCACCTTCTCAGAAAATGTCAATTATATCCCATGTGTTGCTTTGGAATGAGGAGATTTATAGAAGTTATTTTCCATCATGCTCGTCAAGCTGCTGGGCCCTTGGCTAATGGTTTATATAAAGCACACATGACGGGGGGCCCGTCTCATTTCGGATACATGCAACTTTAATAGCGAGGCGATGAATCAGGCACTTACAGTACAGCGAGTTGTATTACATACAGACATGATTCCGGATGCACACTGCCGGCATGCTTGAGTGCTGGTGAAGTACACTAACTTTGATTTTCCTGAAAATGTTTAATTTTTCATGGCGACGTTCCCCCTTACTCTCCCTAACCCACCGCCTCCCCCAGTGCTTTCCTGGCCAGGGCTATTTTGCTGAGCTAAAAGTTTGAAATGTGCATTCTTGGGTTCTGGCTTCAAATGTGGAGCACTCGACAGAATTGTACAGTGTCACCGAGTCCTTTTGAGTCTTACGTACCATGCCACTCTGGAAAAGAAAAAGAGATCAGCACGAAATGATTGTTGATCTGATTTTGAATAAATTAAAATGTAAAAAAAATAAAGGAGGAAGTCAAACAAGATGAGACACCTGACACCTTGAAAAGAGTACGTGTACGAATGTTATAAGCAGAGTGTGTTGCGGTATGTAATAGGCGATGGGTTTCCCAATCGTAAAAAAGAAAAAAGAAAAAAAACGAGGAACGCTACAGAAAAATCCCCCGTAATGACATTCAAAGCAGCGCGCAACATCTTGCCTTCTCTTTCTTGTTCATTCTACTCTTGATAACTATCCATACATCCATTTTCCGATCCGCTTTATCCTCACAAGAGTCGCTGGGGTGGGGTGGGGGGTGCTGGAGCCTATCCCAGCTGTCTTAGGGCAATAGGCGGGGGACACACTGAACCGATCGCCAATCAATTGCGGGGCAGTCAGAGACGAACAACAATCCGCGTTTACACTCGCACCTAGGGACAATTTAGAGTGTCCAATCATCCTGATATGCATGTTTTTGGAATGTGGGAGGAAACCGGAGTACCCGGAAAAAACCCACGCAAGCACGGGGAGAAAATACAAATTCCACAAAGGAATCAAACCCGGTACCTCTGCACTCTGAGGTCGATGTGCTAACCACTGGACCACCGGGCCGCCTCCTGATAACGAAAGAAAGTAAAATGCCGGAAACATTTTGTTTTTCGGGTGAAAGAAGATTCCGGTGTGATATTCTAGTATTCTACGGATTTCGAGAAATCTGTCGAAATGCCGTAAAGTGACTGGCGATACGGGGAACTCGCTTTTAAAAACGTCGGTCAGGCAATTCTAAACAGTCAATATAGCGGGGGATAACTGCGAAGCCCAAACAATGGCGCGAGGCTTTTGCTTTGTCTTTATTGACAGTCCATGCAAGGTAATGGATTCTTCATGCCTCGTGCTTGCACTTTACTCACTGCAACATTCATAATCACTCAAGATCGAGGGCATGCCTCTGAAGTGTTGCGCTACGTGAAACACTGTATCT